GTTTGTATCTTAAAATTAAATAGGAACATAATTTACTGTTATTAATATAAATACTACCTCAATGTGATTGAAATGTTAAGATTTTATTGAATTATATTTCAATTATAAAATGGTTGTATAGCCCTTTTAATCTAATTTCCTCTTAAAGCAAAGAAATAGTTATATACTCTCTTTAATTTGTTTCCATAGAATGAAGAGATATGAAACCATAGGTTCTTGAAGGTAGAGGATGGTTGTTGAACAGCATAATGGTAAAGGGCGAGGTATCATTGGAGCATATGTGGTGTATCTTCAGTAGGAACTAGCATTTGAAGTCCTCACTGTTGTAGTGCGTTAAAATTACCATCTACTTAATTAGTATGTATTGAGCCAAAGGTAATAACTATGTTCATGTGAGCTTGAAGATGAAATTCTGGTGACCTTTTTTCTCTTTTGCTAGAGCTAGCTTTTTTCCCTAATGGCATGTCCATTTGTAGATAATTTATCTATGAATAAATGTGATTAATTAAAATTGTTATTTTTAAAGTATAGCACATTATCCAAACTGTCACTTAATGTTTTTTTTTTTGTTTCTTCAAGTATTTTAATTAAAGCTAACATTATTATTGATCAGTAACCTCGCCTACTTTTGTGTGTGTCTGGTTGGTTTGTAGAGGAGCCCTTGTGGCGTAGTAGTTACATATTGGGCTGCTCACCCAATGTCTGCAGTTCAAAACCACCAGTTGTTCTGCGGGAGAAAGCTGGGACTCTACTCTTGTGAAGAGGTGGTCTTGGACACCCACAAGAGCAGATCTGCGTGTCCTGTTTGGTTGCCATGAGTAGGAATTGACTCAGTGGCAGTGAATTAGTTTGTTTTGTCTGGGGTTCGTTGGTTAGTAGCTCATAAATCCTATATTGAAGACTTATTGAGTGAAATTTATGGGAAATTAAATGGAAAGATTAAGTTTCCTTAAATGGGAAGTTTATTGAGGCTTTCCCCCTGGAAGGGTAACAAGGTTGCGAGCCCCTTGGGCAATGGTACTTTTTTTTTTAACCAAAATTTATCAAATTACCAAAAATCAGATGAGATAGTTTATTCTCTAGAGAATCCTGTCTAACACATCAGAGATTTGTTTTCTTTCAAGATTCATAAATTATTAATGATAATGACATTTTTATCAACTACTTCTGTATTAATATTTAAAAAATCATTGTTTTAGTGAAATGGCAGAATAGTGTGATAGAAGATATTTATATTTTTGTATATTAAAATATTGCTGCCATTATGGTAAAAATTTTAAAATGTAACCATTCAAGATTTCTTTTTCCTGTTTCTGTTAATGCAAGAACTTGCTGTTGATATTATAGTCATCAAATTGTGTTCTGTACTTTATTGCATGTATTTATAGCTTATCTGGTGATTTACAACTCTTTCCCTTGTTCTACATGTAATAATAATCTCAAATAAAATTAAATAATCTTCTTATTCTGATAGAGAAGAAAAAGCTGGATCACTTACCAGTAACTGGAGTTCTCCTATTGGGTAATCTCCACAGATCCACATTCTTTGAAGCTATTGTGAATGCCTTGAGGACCAAGGAACCGGCGACATTTCCAATTTCAGAAAGGTAAGCAAGTGCACTGAAGCATGTCTGTAGCATCTCCCAACCCTCTTCCCCCAACTTTCTTACATATGCGTCTGTACTGCATGCTCCCTCAGTTCCAGTGGACGTCTATCAGGAAGATTCGATGCTGGACAGAAGGGCAAGAGAGGTGGATCTGTGAGGGAAAAGACCCAATAGGATAACTCAAGTTACTGGTAAGTAATCCACTTTTTATAAGCTTTGAGATTTTTTAAAATTTCTTCCATTTGGAAGGGGTTTGTTTAATTACAAAGGAAGGAAGTTGTTTAGGGTAATTTTGATTTGTAAATATCAGATTAAGTAATTCATTGTATGAATGATAAATATCTAGATTGAAATCAATGCATTTATTTTTTTTAAAATTCAAAATCACAAAATGCTTATAAGCC